CGTTGGAGGCTTGAGCACGGATGTAGCTGCTACGGGGTTCCCCGTAATACTATAATCACAATAAAAAAGGCCTGAAAAAAAAAAAAAAAAAAAAAATCAGCTATAATGACCGTACGTTGTTGTATTCGAGGGAAAACTGTAGCCAGTGCGCAGCATCCACGCGCGAATCAGTAGCCTACAGTCTTCCCCCGCGTACAACGCACGGTCATAAGAGCTGAATTAGGTGTACCTGTCGGTCTAAATTCAGCTATAATGACCGTAAGTTGTTGTATTCGGGGGAAAACTGTAGCGACCGGTCGTGCTGCTGTATGCGCGGGCGGTAGCTGCTCGCGCAGCCCAGGCCCGCTATGAAGCAGCCAGGCTGAGGCTCACCCGTCTTCACTCGAATACAACGCATGATCTTTAATTACGGCAAGGCTGAGGGTATTGGGACCCCCTCTATGCTCAGAGTGTGGGAGACACTGGTGGTGGTGGCCGCGAGGCTGAGGCTACCCGTCTTCACCCGAATACAACGCACGGTCATTTTAGCTGTATTTGGGGCAGCTTTAAGTCCAGATACACCAATACTGATCGTACGTTGTATTCGGGTGAGGACGGGAGGACAGCCTCCTGAGGATGGCCGTAGCGCAGCCGGGGTCGAAACTTACGTCGAGCAATGTGCGCGTCCTGACTATCGAAGAACACGTCCGTCAAAGTTTTCTTTTTTTTCTGTTCTTGGACAGATTCGAGGCCAGGTGCATTCATGTCTCCTCGCGAACCTAGTCCATCTGGAGGAACAGCAATATATGAAATGATCAGCAGATTGATTGATTGATTGATGGATGGATGGATATATGGAACGGGTTTTTTCTATGCCTCCTGATGATGTAACGCTTCCGTCCAAGTTTCCCTATTCAAGAGCAGCGAGTGTGTTTGGCCATGGCTTTCTTTCTATCTTCTTTCTGTCTTCTTTCCATCTTCATTCTACTCACAGGCCGGCCCAGAAAAGCCAAACGAACCAAACTACCCTATCTACTCCTCTACCCCTAATTGACCCGGAGCCTACTACCGGTAGGTACTCCTAACAAGGGAAACGGGTACCACAGAGCTGCAGTCCGGACAGGCCTTGTCCGGTCCGCTTGGTCCCATGTATAGCCCCGGCACCTCAATCCAGAAAAAGTACCAACCGCCTTCCGCCTGTGTGCATTGGAACCGACCAGCCCCAGGTTTGTGGGACTAATCTACTTCACCCAAAACAAGTCAGCCAGGACTAACACGTAGTTTGCCCTCCCTTGACTTTGCTTGCTGACTTCCCACACGTAGTAGTAGACCCCAACCCTAAGTCAACGCAAACGGTTCCCCTGAGATTATTGTGCTTCTGCCAAATATGTTACGCGTGATTCTTTCGGTTTTTTATGCCGATCGTTCGTGACGACGGACGTAAGCTGAAGACGACACGTGCCGGCCAATCAGCTCCAAAGACGACACGTGTCAGCCGACAACAACACGTCGTAAGCCATTGAAGGTGAAAGGTGAAACCATTCAGCCAGGACTAGCAGGTAGTTTGCCCTATGTTACCTTTGCTGGCTTCCCACCTAGACCCAAAGTCAATGCAAACCATTCCCCTGAGATTACTGTTCTTCTGTCTTACGCGCGATGCTTTTTGGTTGTTTTGCCGATCGTTGATGACGACACATGTAAGCCGAAGACAAGACGTGTCGGCCAATGAGTTGAAATGACGACACATGTCAGCTGCCGACAATGCCACGTCGTAAGCCGATGATTTGATGACCACAGGGGGTGTTTTACAATATTTGGCTAAAAATAGATCTAGCATCTGTTCTGAATCTTCTGATCAGTTTAATATCTGATAGTACGTGGTCCACCGGTGAAAAGCAACTATTAAAAAAAAATAATAATAATAAAAAGAAGAAAGAATTAAAAAAGAGATGAAAAACAAAGGTGTTGTAACATGGTGGTGGTTGAAACAGGGCTGAAAACTCAATTTGTTAGTCTTCTTGAAAATAAGCACCAAGGCTGAAAAAGTTGTCAAGGGCACCATCTATGGGACCAGCCAAAAAAAAAAAAAAAAAAAAAAAATCGAAAAAAAAGTTATAAAAACTATTTGATCGATGTACAACAATAAACTTTTTGGTAGGTGAAAACTCGATTCATTTGTCTTTTAAGAAGACCCAACACGAAGGATAATTAAAAAAAATAAAAATAAAAAGTTGTGAAAAGTTGAAAACTCGAATTCCGTTTGTCTTTCTCGGGGGAAAAAAAAAACAAGAAGGCTCAACAGTTTCAAAAACTCGATTTATTTGTTTTTTTTTTTATCAAACGAATTCCTTATAACCGACCAAATCGAGGCCAGGGAACCACACACTTCAACCCAGGGTCGTGACCCACTAGCGGGGGTATAATTTATGTTTCGTGTATTTTCCAACGTGGCCACACTAGGGCGTGAGATTTTCAGATCGGATGGCAAGGAAACATGTACACTCCAAACCAAAACAGAACCTGGAGAAGTGGGGACCACACAATTCAACCCGGATTCGAAGTTATCCTAGCGACATCATGAACGCTGAAAACTTCATTCAT